TGTGTGTGTGTGTGTGTGTGTGTGTGTGTGTGTGTGTGTGTGTGTACAGGCCAGGAAAATGCCTTTAGAGAAGTGGTAAACTCACGAGACAAAACATTTTGCTGGTTCCATATTCATTGACTTACTTCATCTCCCACCATTTTTTCATCCACTGCTCTTTGGGAATTTCACCCTTAAAGACCATCCATCTCCACTTTTCTAACATGTAAGTAAACGGTAGAGTTCCAACAATTGTAAGTGCTTGTTTGAATAGGAAGTTTATGTCTGTTTCTGAAAGTAAAATGGAAAAGGATAAATATTAACATGAGGACGACAGCGGATGTGTTGTATTAATTTCCCAATCTCAAGATATCATTCCTCAAGATGTACTTACAGTAAGGATGATTACGTGAGAAATGCTGACAACGGACATAATAATATGTGTCTATTCATTTTCTCAGCTAAGGGACTTCGAGGAGGGTGAAGACTTGGGAAGAACAGGTAAAATGAATCGGCGAGTAACCGCTAATCCTCATCTTTTCATTAGTGTCAATTGCTTTTCTTAAATACCTCTTATCAGAGCCAATTAGGGCTATTTCATCTACTGTCATACTATTTATTTTTGTAAGCTCCATGAAGGCGGTGACTGTAAATGTCTTATTCAAGACTGTATACCTAACCTGGTGTCTCCTACATGATACCCTCTCTGAGTCTTTGTTAAAAAACAAATTTTTAAACAGATGTGGCCAAAAGCCAGTAAACCAGGGAGGAAAAACACAAACAAAAAAGAGCCTCCCCAGAAGAAACTATCCACTGGAGAATCAGAAGTATAGTACCCTTGAAATGTACTGACATCTTTTTCACCTCAATTACGTGATCTCATCTACCCTTTATTTAGTGATGTAAAAGAGCAGGAGAGCTCAGCCCTTGTGTACTAGGGAAGCTCAGTGAACTGTAAGCAGGGGGATACTATCTACTTGGCACAGCACGGTACCTCTAGTGTTGAGAAAAATGCCTTGCACATAGTATATGCTCAGTAAATATTTTTGGAAGAAGAAAGGAGGCAAGGTAAAGAGAAGGAGGGAGGGAGAGAAGGAATGAAGGGGTTCATCTAACGTCGTTCACAGATCAGGGGCAGAGCCAAGGAAGGAAACAAGAATTTTTCAAACCAGTTGTTTAACCATGTCTAGTACTATCCTAGTGATTCAATCATCTTTGCCTGCTGTCAGGGAATATTTTAAAAAATGATAAAAACAACTAATTGTCTGTTAATTGACTCAAGAATTATATTTTAAAATTAGGCAAGAGATGTGGTTGCCATGAACTCCCTTTCCTTTGTTGCTCCCTTCATGGGAGGATGCTGTTACTCATCTATTACCCACTGGGTCTATGCTTACAGTAACTTTTTCAGACACGATGAAGACTTTACACTGACCTACTCCCAGGCCTTCATGAGATCACCAAAGTCTGGCACCAGAAACAAGGCACAGTGAATTGCCCCCACACGGATGGCGCTCATGACCTTGACCTCACTGACCAAACGTTCCAGCCAGTGGAGCTGATGTCTTGAACCACATAACTAAAACAAGGGGAGAGAAATATACAGAAGAGAACATATTTGGCTCTAAGTATCCTCCTTTTACAAGGAAGAATCAAAAGTCATGGCATCTTCACTGAAGAATCTGGATCTCGTGAACATTCGTCATGTGCCATCAAGTCCCAACCATCCAAAGAGAAACAGGCTGCCTTGGGCAAAGATGTTGACAGACAGCATGGATCTGAGGGGATGTCACAGGGGCAAATTCATGCTTCAGCTGGATGAAGAAAACGTTTCAGTCCCATCCAATCTTGATATTCCACCACCCATTCTTTAAGAACTCTCAAATTTCAAGTCACACCTTGTTTTGTATAATATTATGGGAAAAGCTTTAGATTAGGGCTCTGGTTTGGGTTCTGCTATGTTGCTTTTTGACCTTGGACTAGTTACTTTTCCTCTCTTGTCGTCAGTTTGCTGCCTCTGTAAAATAGTTTTTAGAATGTTCCAGCTCTCACATTTTGGGAAGTTTTTACCTAGAACCAGGGGGATCTAGTCAGAACTCTAATATTAATTAGCTGGGTGACCTTGGATAAGCCATTTCAGTTCTGTGGGCCTGTTTTAGCATCTTTTATTCCCTGTTAGATGTTTCTTAAAGTTCCAAGACCATTCATTCAGTCAGCTCTCTTATGCCTTTTTCTTTTTTTCTTTTTTTTTTTTTAAAGATTTTATTTATTGGGGTGCCTGAGTGGGTCAGTCGGTTAAGCGGCTGCCTTCAGCTCAGGCCATGATCCCAGACTCCTGGGATCAAGCCCCGTGTCCTGGGATCAAGCCCCGCGTCGGGCTCCCTGCTCGACGGGAGAGCCTGCTTCTCCCTCTCCCTCTGCCTGCTCTGCCTACTTGTGCTCTCTCTCTCTCTGTCAGAAAAAAGATTTTATTTATTTATTTGACAGAGAGAGAGAGCATGAGCATGGAGAGTGGGAGAGGGAGAAGCAGGCTCCCCACTGAGGAGGGAGTCTGACATGGAGCTCCATCTGGATCATGACCTGAGCTGAAGGCAGACACTTAACCAACTGAGCTGCCCAGGCGCCCCTTGTTATGATATATTCCTTAAAAAATGTTTTTACCAGTAGCAATTCCCAGTTACCCATAAATATCATATACTTTATGTGGCAAAAATTAAATATATCCCACACGTGGTAATAAATGCCTTTGCCCACAACTGACTAAAGAATCCCCAAAACAAGCCATGAAGAAAAATGTCCATACCATTGTCTTCAGAAAAACCAGGTGGCAAAAGACCAATGTTTTTCAAATGCTTGGGTGTAGCTGCAGAAAGTGACATGATTTCCCCAACAGCTTCATGGAACCCTTCATTAGCTCCATTTCTTAGCAGGAAGGGTTGTTCAGCATATGCCATGTCATACTGGATGTGTCCCATCTCATGATGGGCTGTCAGGAAGTCATCCATCGTCACCTTTGTGCACATCTTGATCCTGCACAAAAACGGGCAAGATTAAAATGAAATCTCAATGAATTTGATTTAATCATCACAGTAAGAGCAGTATAGGATTTTGATAGCATGGTTCATCATTCCAAGATTTGGTCACCGATGAATCTTGAGAACTTACCTTTTATGTCCTAGAAACGGTACAAGGTGCTCAATATAAAGCGATGGGCAGGGCTGAATCCTATTGCTCACAAACTAATAGAAAGATAAGCAGAGTCTTCTACTACAAAAACTCTCAGGCAAGTACTCTGTAAGTGATCAGTAGACATGGCCTTGGGCATAACAACAAGTGAATGCAGGCACAGTCTCCTAGAAGCACCGAGAAGGGCATAACTGAGGATGCAATGAGCAAGCCGGACCTTGATCAACATGTAGAAGTTTGCCAGGCAGATGGCGGGGAGGGACAAGACGTTGACATTCCTGGAAGTGCTCAGTGAAAAAGGCTTGAGAAAAGGGTGTAGCATTCAGGACACAGCAGGCAGTTTGGTAGAGCCAAGACAGAGAGGTAGGAGGAGAAGGGGCTGGAAATTGATATTCGGGAGTCATTAGCATTGTAAGTCAGGGAGTCGATGTGATGGCCCATGAAGCAGGCATAGAATGGCAAGGAAAGAGGGCCAAAAATAGAGCCCTAGGAGGTCCCAGTACGTACGGAGTGGAGAAAGATGATTCAGAGAAGATGGCGGGAGAGAGAGAGAGAGAGAGGAGTCAAAGAAGTCCAGAAGAGCATGACAATGCAGAAGCCAGTGAAAAATAGCATTTCGAAGAAAACTTGTAAACACCGTCTAAGGCTGCAGTGGCCCAATTCAATAAGGACTGCATTCGGCAATTGACAGTGGTCCTGTTCAGCTTGGCAAGAGCAGTTCCGTTCCGGTGAATGCAGGGGGCATATTTCAGTAGGTTCCCAAATTAATTTTTTTTCCCCTCTGACCATGTCATCCCCCTGATAAATACCCTGTGAGTCTCCCCCAGTGCTCAAGAAGAAACTCAGCTTCCTTAATACAGCCCAGGTAAGACCTGCCTTTCTAACCTGGTTTTTCTCTATTCTCTTTTGAAACAATCACAAGAAAAGCTACTGTGTGTTTAGTGTCTACAGTACCTAGGAGCCTGGGCTAGGAAACTTACATGTATTCCCTCATTTTTAAGGCCCTCTCAAGTATGGGAGTCAGTGAAGTGTTTTGATAAAGGAGGCTTTGTTGGAACACAGGCGCCGTTTGTTTACGTGTGGTACGTGGCTGCTTTGATGCCACACGGGCAGAACTGAATCGTTGCAGCAGAGACCTGCAAAGCCTGGACTATTTACTATCGGGCCCTTTACAGAACACGACTGTCAGGCCCTACTCTAGTGGACGCTGCTGGGGGCCTGCCCAGACCAGCTCTCCCAGGCAGATCCACCCATCCCCCATCTGACTGCATCATAGCCCTTAAAAGCCAACAGCTGCTTCCTTGTGCACTGCCTTTGGCTAAGTGAGAGGTGCCTCAACCAGGAGAGTGTGTCCTCCCACACTCTGGGGCAGTCCGCAGCCAGTGACTAACTAATGTGGGGGTACAAAAGGCTAGTCCTCTTTTCTCAAGGTGTGACCAACTGTGGTACAAATCGGGGTCCGGAGAGCCCCATGGGATCAGGCTGAGGCCAAGTCTCCAACAGAGGCCACATCCTTACTTAACTCTTTCCCCTGCCCACCCCCCTTCCCTCACCCCCTTTTGCCTGACATCTGTCCCTCAGTGAAGCATTTGTACCAGAATCTTCTCCTCAACCTGGGGAACCCAACCTAAGACACTCACAAAGCTGCTACCTGGGGATTACCACTCCCTTTTAGAGATAAGAAAAATGCAACCCAAGAAGGTTAAATACCTTGCCCAATGCTATCTAGTCATTAAGTGACACACCTGGGATTCGAAAGCCTGTGCTCATTCTGCTGTATCACAGACCCTTCTTCACATGACTTTTATTCTAGCCTAACTTGCTGGTTCTGGTGCACAATGCCAGGCCCTGCCTCTCTGCATTTGATCCTGCTTTTCTCCCAGCCCTGTCTGTCCAAACCCTTCTCGTCTTTCAAGCCTAATTCAAATGTCACCTGAAAAGCCCTGTCTGAGCCTACATCCTATTCCGGGTGTAGTCAGTTCTCTTCCAATTCCCTATAGAGGTGTTCTCTGTGCTTCTCTTCTAACACATACCACCTTCTCTCTTTTATCCCAGCTTATTCATTCACCTGTCCTGTCTCACTCATAAGAGGGAAACATGGAGGGGAAGAACAATGCCTGATCCACCCAGCCATCTTCCATAAATCTTAGCACCAAATCTTTCTCACGGGGACACCGCCCTTCCCATGACCAGGCAAATCTAATGGGTGCATATTATTTCAAATGAGGCAGACAAGCTAAAGTTCAAGTTAGGGCCTGCTGACAATCCCCTTTTCCTGGAAAAGGCCAGATGTGCTCTCATGGACTCCTGAGTCCTCATTTAAGGAGAGTTCACACATCTCTTCTGTGCTCAGAGAGGCAGAGAAGAAGTCCAAATCCATACTCATTCCTGCCTCCATTGTCTCCCAGTGTAGTATCAGCTTTGTAAGGATCATCCTCACTACCTGAAGTCATGCTTCCCTAGGTCCCAAGCTGTGGGGTGGCAGACCACTTTCCGGCTGTTGCCTGGCTCTGTTAGCATGGAGTTTTCCCAGAATCCTTGAGTCATGTTGGGAAGGCCGACAGACACAAAGAATTTCTCAGCCTCCTTGAATATCCTCCTTGCATCCCATCTCTGAAAGAAAAAAAAAAACAGCATTTCATTCTAGCATTAACATAACAGCATTCTTTCTGTCGGCTATATACAGAGGCATAACCTTTCTGGAAGGCAATTTGGCGACATGTACGGACATGTCAAGCTTTCAAAGTGTTTACACTCTGTCTCAGTAATCCGGTCTCTAGGGAACTAACCTAGGAAATTCTCAGAAGTTAGGTCAAAGAATTACATGTAAAGTGGGTTTTTTTGTTTATTATTTTTAAATATTGAAACATATTTGACACATCACATTGTGTAAATTTAAGGTATACAACATGTAAAATGATTTTTAATAGAGAAAAAAGTGGAAACCACCACCAGAATGATTAAATACATAATGATGTCTTCGTGGAAAGGAAAATCTAAATGAATTCAATTCATAAAGACTTTTTATTGATGTTTTTTGTAATTTAATATTAAGTGAAAAAGTAGAATATATAAACCACTTATATAATGTGATATTAATGAGGAAATACATGAAAAATTAACAGTAGACTGTGTGAGATTATGTGTGATGTTTTTGTCTTTATGCTTTATATTCCAAGTATAAGCAAACAACAATGACCTTCTCTCTCCTAAAAAACTATTCAACTCAAGCCAACAATCCTTGACCAAGCTCCTTCAAGGGGGGAGGCCCTGGTGTTAGGCTCAGTGGAAGACACAAACAATAAGGTGCAGACAAAGTCTTGGACTTTTGGAACCCAAAAGGCCTGTGTGAGACCCAGTAGCCAGTAAGTAGCCGGGTCTTGGCTTCATAGTCCATATGGGAATCTAAAGTTTCAGAATGTTCTGGAACCCGAGAGGGGCAGCAGTAGGTGTCTGCCATCCAGCAGACTCTTCTGGGAGCTGATCAGGGCTTCTTTGGGGAAAAGGCCCACAAAGCTAAGTTTGTGCAGGTGGCAGATAATTCATGAATCACTTCTGGTGACACAGAAAACTTCCTCTGATCTCAAAGACCAGTCAAGTCTGGTTTTTCTCCTCTATCGCCTCAGGGATATGAAACAGGATATGACACTGGGGATGTTTTTTATTATTGCCCTTTAAAGGCAATATTGGTATTAGTAGGTATGGCATTCTCAAGCAGAAAGAATGTCTGTATACCAAAACAGCGCAGGCTAGTAAGCACCGTTAACGTCTGTTAAATGCAGAAGGAACAAATGGAAAACGAGACTGGAAATATTAGGAGTTTTGAGGTCAAACCTTTGTTGCCACTGATCGTCTTTGTGACTTTGGGCAAGACATTTACCCAGGCCTCAGTTTCCTCACCTACAACACGGATCCATCACCATCCCTATCCTGACAGTCTCGTAAGCGTGTTGTCAAGACGACCTTAGGAGAGATGGTGCGTGTACCAACACCGGAGACAGGCTGAGGAGCTATGTGCAGATGAACTTCTGCTGCTCCTCAACTGTGAAACCAGGCCGAGCACAGCTTCGGGAGTTTGGAGGCCCTTGCGGCTTCACAGTTTTATTTTGCTGTGACCTTTTCCCAGGAGCATGTTATATACATGAAGATGTTCACTGCATGGCTGCTTATAGGAAAGGAAATCATGGTGCAACTCTCTGAAGACATTTTATACAGCCAAGAGAAGTATGACCATACATTGTACCCGAAAAATGTAGACTACCAGCTGAATAAAGAAAAACATATAATTATAATATGACTTCACCCATGGTAGGGAACATGGTGAATTTAAATAATTACGCAAGGATGGTAACAAAAAGTAATTTAAAAATTATTTTAAAGACTCCTATAGTATTTTTAACAATAATGATTTTTTAAAAATCTTCTAATGATATCATTTTTTTCTGTTCATAGAGACTACAGACTGATTACTTAGCAGCGACTAACTCTGGAAAGAGTAATGCCAACCAGTCGATAATTCCACATCTTACTGCTTGATGGAAAACTCAGGTCATCTCCATTTTTAATATCTCTCAGCAAGATCAAGACCATACTTATCATTCAAGGTACTTGATGTCACTGACATTGTAAATTACTTTTCCATGAAAAGAAAGCTACATCAGAAATATATTTATTATTTTTTTAAGATTTTATTTATTTATTTGAGAGAGACAGAGAGAGTGTGTGTGCACAAGCACCAGCGTGGAAAGGGCCAGAAGGCAACGGAGAGGGAGGAGGAAAGAATCTCAAACAGACTCCGTGCTGAGCACGGACCTGGGGTTCGATCTCATAACCCTGAGATCATGACCTGAGCTGAAACCAAGAGTCGGATGCTTAACCAACTGAGTCACACAGGCCCCCCCCCCCAAGAAATACATTTAAATTAGCTTAACATTTTTTTATTTACATGGTTTTACATGCAAAAGATAAAGAAAGAAGAGTGGCAGAAAAAGAAATGAAGTTGAGGATTTAGATTTGGTTTTTAAGGCCTCTTCCTACCTGGTTCACCATTGCATCAGTAACATCTATGTTTGGTTTCTGTCCGAAGGGGACTGTCAGAGGGTACAGGTTTGTCCAAAATCTACCCCACATATCGCCTATTTAAAAAAAAAAAAAAAGATTTTGTTAATACATAGCAAAGGCAGCAGAAGCATAGACCCGATTTTACACAGTGCATAAGTTAGGATCGGTAAATAGGCTATACAGTATTCTAAATTTAATCTAGTTTCTTTTCATTACCTCTTTTTCTGTTCTCTTATTTACAATTTTCAGCACTCCCTTCTTTTACTATCTCCTCTAAAAGGTTAAAATGGCAGGAGATTATCCCTGTTTCTCCCATTTTGAATTACAATTCAAAGGCACAGTTTATTAAATATATGGAACATCATAGCTACTATAGATTAGAAACAGATTGATATAATCTACCATCCATGGAACAAAATATTGCCAATTAGACTATTAGTAATTCCTAATATTGGACTCAAGAGAGATCATATAGGATCACCATCCAGGAATCTCTACTAACTGGTAACAAAGTTCCACCTTTATCAGTATACCAAAGTAATACACTTAACTGGGTAATTTTTCAAACATCTCAAACAAATACTAAACTGGATTCCAAGGCCAGAGACCCTAAAAGGCAAGCTGGATCTAGAAAACGTCAATCTAATAGCAAGACCAGAATGTTGGCACCAAAGGAACGGGGCAACATAACTACATGAAGAATATTCCAATGAACTCATGTTTTAAACAATAAAATTCAGTAGAGGTAAGGCCTAATAGAGGCCTATGCTTAAATTTTATTTATTTATTTTTAAAGATTTTATTTATTTATTTGAGAGAGAATGAGCACAAGCAGGGAGGAGGGGCAGAGGGAAAAGGAGAAGCAGACTCCGCACTGAGCAGGGAGCCCTGGGATCATGACCTGAGCTGAAGGCAGACACTTAACTGACTGAGTGCCCCTCTGCTTAAATTTTAAAGAAAGATGTATCCACTATAAAAATATGTGATAAGTGACTTCAGGCTGAAACATAGCCTACATGTAAAAGACCAAAAGGGACCCAAGAAACAGTGTGACATGGCTTCCAAAACACAAATGTGATCTTAAGGTAAATAAATAGAATTATAGTGTCTAGAACAAAGGAAGGCATGGTACCATTTTTGCTCTATATTGGCCAAACCTCATCTGGAGTAATGGTTCAGTTCTGAACATGATTTTGAGGAGAGACATCAACAAAGCCTAGCTTGTCCAAAGGAGAACAATTAGAAAATTGAGATTTTAAGGAATGGCTAAAAATCTGTGTAGGATATTTCACTGGAAAGAAGCAAAGAGTGTATACATGATGGTAACAATAATACCCTCTAAAATATATTGATTACATACTCTTGTGCCAGGTACTATGCTGTGCCTTATACAATGGTTGTTCAAAAGATCCAGAAGGCCATCTTATAGAAGAAGAATGGACATATTCTGGGTAACCTCATATCATGGAATTAGATGTAATGAACGCAAGGCATTAGAGGGGTGTTGATTCAGTCCCACATAAGGTAGAACTTGCTTATAATTGGTGCCACATAGCGCTAGATTAGCCTACCTTGGAAGGAAGAAAGAGCCACATCACACCAGATAGGTTTAAGCAGAAACTGAATTACTAAAGAATGCCTACCAAAGACATCGTAGAGAGTATTTATATATTGCCTTGGAGTAGAAGTCTCCACAGGTCCTTTGTGCATATTCTCTCCTGCTGAGAGAGAGCTTTGGCTCTTGAGAAGAATTAGCCACCAGCAACTTAGCTTGGTAGGAATGCTATGTACGCATGACAGGAACATTCCAAACACGTATATCTTATTTGGCCTCAGCTTCTAGGGAGTGGTAGAGGGGAAGGAAGGATGGCCACTCTCTGGAAGGGAACTAGGCGATTCAGTAAAGGGCCCCAGGTCTTTCATGGTCTATAAAGGCTCTGTGGCAGGATAGAAAGTTCTTGGAAGATTGAGTCTCCTCTTAAGCTAGGCATTTGTCTTCAGGGCAAAGACTTCGTTCAAAACCCATATAATTCCAAAGCACATACTTTGCAGTGAAAAGTAATTGGTGCAGTTTAGAATAAACTTATGAAACTTTCACTCAAGCTATACCTTAATTCTAGAAAGCCTTTCTCTCACCCCTGACCACCCCCAGACTACCAAGCTTCATTCCTCTGACAATATAATACTAAAATGCCAAACTCCACCTCAAGAACTTAGCCAATCAACTTAAATTATAAAACTTATTTTCCCCATTTCCACTCTCATTTGAACTTGGAGTTCTTTCTCTAGTTATCTTAAATAACCCCTTTATCCTTTGGACTGTGGCCAACATAATAACCCTTTATGTGTAAAATAAAGTAATGCAATAGAGAACAATTTTAAATGGCTTTTATGTTGAAGAAAGTGCTGGCAAAATGTGATTTCAATAATGTTACTAACTTCATTCACAAAATTTTCCAAGTTTTATGTTGGGCTTCATTCAAAACAAAACAAAACAAAACAAAAACCTTTATTGGTGGAAACAACAGAGAACAAACTACACAAAGAGTTCCTGGAGTTTCTTACCAAGCAAATGGGCCGGGAGGCATCCAGTTGGGCTGATATGGGAAGGGTAGGTGTCCATCAGCTTTGCCCTCACATAAGCATGAAGATGTTCATACAATGGTTGAATCTGAAAAGCCCAGGAAGAAAATTTAAGACCAAGAGTAGTCTACTCCAATTTCCAATCCCCAACACTAAAGATAGGAGCCTCTTTAGACAAGTAGAATTTCCCTAAATTCTAATTTCTTCTCCTCTCAAATACTCTGGAGAGTTTGAAAGCATCCCTTCTTCCCAGATATTAACGATGACTAGCCTTACTGCATAAAACGATTAACACACCTGGAGGAATACAGGTCCCAAAATGAAAGCAGATGCAAAAAATATTCATTTTAAAGATGTTACCTACTTCCTTTGTCTTTAAATTGAAGTACAGTTACATCCCATAAAATTCGCCCATTTTTAAACGTACAGTTTCATGAGTTTTAGTAAATTTACACTGTTGGACAACCTTCACTACCACCCACTTTTAGAATATTTCCAACACCTCAAAAACTCCTCTTGTCTCCATTTGCAATCAATTCCAGTCCCACCCCCAGCCCCAGGTCATCACTGAACTGATTTCTATTTCTACAATTTTGTCTATCCTGGAAATTTCACATAAATGAAATCATAAAGTATGTGACCTTTTGTCTGGCTTTTTTCACTCAGCATGATTTTTAGGTTCATCCATGTTACTGTTGTATCAGTAGTTCATTCTTTTTATTACTGAGTAGTGTTTCACTGTATGAATACATCCGAGTTTGCTTCATTTAGTATCTCATGGATACAACTCACCAGTTGAAGGACAGCTAGGTTGTTCCCAGTTTGGGGCTATTATGAATAATGCTTCTATGAACTTGCCTGTGTAAGTCTTTGTATGGACCTATATTTTCATTTCTCTCATATAGACACCTAAGAGTGGAATACCTTAGTCATATGATAAATGCGTGTTTAACTTTTTAAGAAACCACCAAACCGCTTTCCCCAGCAGCTGCGCCATTTTGCATTTCTGTCGGCAGTGTCTCCACACCCACACCAGCACCTGCTATGCCAGTCTTTTTTAACCAAAACCATTCTGGCGTGTGTGTGGTGGGTTTTTTGTTTTGTTTTTTTTTTTAAGATTATTTATTTATTTATTTGAGAGAGAGCATGAGCGGCTGCGGGGGCGGACAGAGGGAGAGGGAGAAAGATGAACAGACTCCCCACTGAGCAGGGAGCCCAACGAGGGGGCTCCATCCCAGGACCCTGGGATCATGACCTGCGCCGAAGGCAGACGCTTAAGCAACTGAGCCACCCAGGCGCCCCTCTCCAACTTCCATTTTTGATGGCTCTGCCTAACTAAGGCTATGACAGAGTCGGTCTACATAAGAAATTTGAAGGCACAGGGATAAGCGGGAGATGTGGGAATCAAAATGAAGAAACAGGGAGACACTGAGAAGTGTCCATGGGATACTCTCCCTTCCTTATAAAGACTTCCTTAGTCGAAGGTAAGGAAACAACAGTATCAGTTGTCCTGAGGAAGGAAGCAAAACCTACAGCTCTGCCAACAAAGTAAGACGGTGTGGGTCCCAGGTAGTTTACGAAGACTATTCCTTCTTATAATCTAAAAGACCATTCCTCCCTGTAATCTTTCCTTCGTATAATCTTGCTCTTGGTAATTGCCGGTGAGTTCAGTGGCTGAAATGGGGAGGAAAGCAGAGCAGTTCTGATCATCCATAGGGGTTGCCCTATTATTCTTTAAAATCTTTTCAAGCTCTAATATTCCATAACTCTGAGGCCTGGGAATGGCTGACGAGTGTGTAAGAACAAGCCAGAATGCTTCTGGTCATTGCCCCTTCCTCCCGTGCACTGCCCTACATCGGTTTCCTGGTTACCTGGGTGAAGGTCTGTTCCACATCTTTAATCAACTGGTCGCGGCTATAGTTATAGCCATTTGTCCACTCCTCTTCATAATCTCCTCTCCAATAATCCCCATAGTCCTCATAATCTGTTTTTAAAAAGGAGGAGTAAGAGAACGTAAGGGAAAGAAAGAGATGAGGCGCTATATACATCAAATAACCTTGCTGGGAGGTTAAAAAAATCCAAAGATCTGTCACATTTTTACTGACCTTCTAAGTGATAGGGCCATATCCCTCAAAGGGATGAAATGAATAATAATGCTAGCTAGTGTCTGTGGAGCACTTGCTCCCTGCCAGAAATTTTAACGCATTATCTCATCTAATAAGCACAAAAAGTCTACAAGATTGACATTATTAAAGTCCCCACCATGCAGATTAGCAGGCTGTTCTTAGACAGTGAAATCATTTGTCCAGGGTTACCGCACTGGTACGGGGCAAAGGCACACTGCGAGGCCCCTAACCCTCGGTCTCTACCCTCTCCAGACTTCAGTTTGTATCTTTGGCTTTCCACCATGTGATTGGATTTGAGTTTTTAAATTCTCCTTTTGTTCAGGGCCTTATATTTTCACATCTAACTCATCTTAGACTTTGCCACAGGGGGCCTGGGTTTGTTTGTAAATTACACGTCGGCACAAAACATCTCTCTATGCTTCGTGTAGTATCTCAGCATCAGCAAACACAAGCTTGCATTAGGATGTTAGCCAATAACGTTTGCAAATGTGTTCTGATAATTTTTACTTTTACATGCACATTGGCAATGGATGATCAGAAGGAAGAGAGAAAGACCTCTTTGGATGGAAGGATACGGTGATGAGCTACTGTCTCCAGTTTGCCTGTGGCTTGAGAATATCAGTTTAAGTGGCGGTGAAAGACATTTAGAAACAACAGATGAAAAAAAAATTCTTCCTTACTCAACCCCAGGGGGCAGCGAATCACCAAAGCATAAAGTTACTCATAATGCCATAGCTTCAGCTCATTATTTAGGCAGGAGAGTAAGTTAGGAGATATGGAAATTCTGCCCCATGTTGAGAGTTTTATGACCACACGATCTGAGTTATAATTACAACTGCAGAACAGAATGGATTTCCAGCCTAAATTAATCTGATTTTATTTTCTTTCTGGGACACCATCTTGAGTTAAACACACAAATGGCCTTTGAGAATAAACTGTGGCCAGATAGGAGTTTAGGTGAGAGACAGTGTCTCTTGTCTCCCATCCTGTCTAAGAACCAGAATCCCTACTCAATCCCCAGGCTACCTCAGGTCCCTGATACATTCCCAGACAACTGATTTGTTTGACGTCCTGCAGTTCAGTCTCATTTCTGAACTCTCTAAACTGTAGAATGTCAGTGCACCATTCCTTATTCCCTAGTAGTTGCTTCTTTGAGACACATAACCGGAATTTGTTCAGCAGATGATCATTAATTTAGGGATACTTCTTCTATCAAAGGGCAGCCTTGGTAATTCATGAGAAATAGCCCACAGTGCCATAGAGGGCTTCAGGACCTCTTTAGACCAGCAAACTTACTGTTGGCTCTTGCCATCTCATTTTTCAGGGCCACGTACTCTTCATATAATGGCCTCAGCTGCTTGCCAACCTCAGACCTCCAGCCTTCCCAGGCCCAGAGCCTCTCATTGTAGTCTCTGCTGTTTGCCATTATGTCATCCAAACCTGTCATTGCAAAGCACCCAATAGGAAATAAACATGCATTTGTAATATTTTTATTTGCAAACAATTATATGAGCTTTAAATAATTAAAAGTAAGGCTGGCAGACATCAAGGTCATAAGGTTATTAAACGAAATCTTATGATTTATCAATTTCTTCATCCTTGTTATAGTTTCAAAATATTACTGCAGAGAAAATAAACCATTGAAATCATTTAGCTACTAACATAATTAAATTCCTTGGAATGTGACAAAGTTTACCATGAAGTTTTGTTATAAGTTAAAAGTTCATCTATGTGTTGAAACACCTATTTGGAATCTTATCATCTTTGGATTATCCATTTGAAAGGCACAATGTTATCATTCAGTGCCAATCTCAGTTTTAAAACTTAGAGTAAAAAGGGGTGCCTGGCTCAGTCAGGTAAGCATTAAGCATCCACCTCTTGATTTCGGCTCAGGTCATGATGTTGGGGTCATGGGATCGAGCCCCGTGTAGGGCTCTGGGCTGAGCACGGAGTCTGCTTGAGATTCTCCCTCTCTCCTGCTGCCCCAAACCCCATGCACAGGCACATGCTCTCTCTCTCTCCCTCAAATAAACAAATAAAATCCTTAAAACTTAGAGTAAAAAAATTAAATTTCATAATCATTGCTCAAAATTAATAACCTACCTGGTTCAAGTAATAAGCACTCCTGTGGATTATTTGGGTTACAAGCTTTTCCAGTACTGTAGATAGTGCTCATTGCATTTAGGATTGTGTTCAACTGCAAATTAAACATAATAAACAATGTTTAAACTGGGAAATGTGCTGTATGGAATGCTAAGGTAAAGATGTCCTTTTGGCCGTGTGATTTTTTTATGCCCTCAAAATACAGCAGTTCCCGTCTTTGCCAAGTATCCTCCTTTATGTAGGGTAGGAATATCTCTGTGAAATTCCCCTGTATTAACTCACACAGAACCTTAAATAGACACACATAATAAATATATGTAGAGTGACTGAAATAAACAAATCTACCAAAATTCTGGGGACGTTGCTCAGGTACACATGCATGGAGACGGGCATTTGTTGTCTTGTCCAGCATTCTCTGAGTACACATTTACTGAACATCTACTATGTCCTACACTCGGATAACTCTGACATGAACAAGTCACTGGTCCTCAAGTCATGGGACAGTGGGACAGCCATGAAATCAATAATTACATAACCCAAGTGATAAGTGGTATAACTGTCATGAAAAAGTGATGTGGCAGTCTGGCAGGGAGTGGATAAATGAAGAACTTGGAGATTCAGGGATGGCTTCAGAGAGGAGGGGACATTAGCGCCGTGTCTTGGAAGAGAGGTAGGAATTAGCCAAGTAGAAAAAGGAGAGAGAAGGCAGAGGCTAAAAGGTGGATGGAGGTTGGGAAAGAGCAGGCATTTTCCAGAAGTGATGACACGTTGAAGGAAACTGGCATAGTGATGCTGACTGAGGGAAGTGGAGGATGTAAGTATGGAGAGGTCAGCAGGAGCCAGGTCGTGAGGGGCCATCTGTGACACACTAAAGAGTTTAAACTTTACCCTGTAGGTAAAGGAGAGTAAAGGTAGTAGAGTTAAGCAGTGCTACTCAAAGTATGGTCTGTGGACCAGTGCAAGACAGTAAATGGTTTGTTTCTATTCTGTGATAAGTACAGGAATCAAGAGAATAAATGTTTTTGTTAAAGAGAATAAATGTTTATAAACTTTAAAAAACCATTTGATATTTCCATGACATCTAGGCATGAGAGCAATGAAGTAAACCAAGTATTGATCTGCAGTGGATTGGTAATAAAAGAAGAAAGGGAATAAGAGAGGGAGA